TACATCCATTTTTTCTAAGGTATGCCAAAATGTTCAGAAACTTCTGAAACGTAAAGATATATAAAAATTTTCATTTTCGATTTTTTTGCGATTACTATAACTTACCCTACGGGAAGTTAATAAAAATATAATCCGAATTATATGAAAGAATTTATTTTTTTTTTAATTTTGTGTTCATCACCTGATAGCAACATAGTAAGAATCAAGGTAAGCCTGTTATACATCTTTTTCCCTCTACTTTCAAATATTGTTGTTCAAACATTTTTAACTTCGCTTGTTTTTGAGATATCGGTGGTGGACCATTTTACCCGCCCATCTCTACCCTACGCAAGTTGTTCCTTCTATCTAGTAACGAAGTACGTAAACGTTAAAAATTGAACATTGAAACCGTATAGTTATGTTATAAAATTTAACGGTGTGATTTAACACAGAAATTGATTCCTGGATCGTCGGAAAAGTTGTTATCACACAACCTAAGTTGAGTATAAAAGCTGATCTCTGGAACCGTCGGTGTTAATAATGCCAAAACATTTGAAAATTTTCCATCCCCGGTTTAGCTCCTGGTGCTCTAAGGTAATAGCGAGCAGACTTCCGTAAACGAGAATATCACCATACAAATCTGCGGTGTCTCTTGCACGGCAGCGTTTAACTTTATCATATACTCGTACATAGTTAGTTGCATGTCCTTTCCATATTGTGTTTTGTGTACACAACTGCATTATTATCCACATATAACCCACCACGAAGAGGCAAAATGTGCACTCGCATATCAACTATAATATGAACAAAATTTAAGCTGTTGTCATATGCAAAGGTTCTAAAATATTAAGTATATAAGACGAGCTGCAATCAAATAATAAATAGATACGAATGAAATATAGAGAATTATAACGTGTCGATTGTATATTTTGTTTAAAAATTATTGTTAAAGAATTAGATATGAAATGCATGTGGACGACTAATAATCTTTATAAATCGGTTCCATTCATTAGGTCGTATATAATGTATGAACAATTGCTTTATCTTGCCGATGTGTTATACCCGGCAGAGTTGAGTCGGTAATACACATAAACTAAACAGTGTAAAACTTGTGTATGTGTATTGCGTAAGTTCAATTTTTAACAAAATACTGGTAATCCCGAAATACCGGTATTTTTGGTATGAATACCAGTATTCAATACTGGACAAAAATCGTCCGGAATCCCGGTATTCGGAATCATGGAATCCCGGTATTGTAAGCCCTATGTAGAAATGTGTTTTTTGTTGTTTTTCAAAAATTTGTCAACTGGTCCTTTTTACTCCATAGGTGGTGAAAATGGGACAGCCAGGGGGCCAAAATATCCAATGTCTTATTTTTAATTTTAAAGGGATTTTACGAAATAATAGCACTGTATCTAACCTTGATCTGATATTTTGTCAAAAATATTTACCAGCAAAGTTAGAATTCCAATTCATTTAATTTATTTTTTGTAAAATTGCATAGTTTAACTTAATTTACTTTATATTAACTTCCTGTAGGGTAAGTTACAGTAATCGAAAAAAAATCGAAAATGAATGAATGAAATGAAATGAATTTTTATATATCTTTACGTTTCAGAGGTTTCTGAATATTTTGGCATACCTTAAAAAAAATTGATGTATGTGTGTGCGTGTGTATGTATATTCGGATACAAATTTTCGTCGACGATTTCGAGAACACGGATGAAGCGATTTGAATAATTCAAAAAACATTCGATTCGTATTGATAAGGAGACATGCTGATTAGTTTTTGGCGAAGGCAGGTCTAGCCGTTTGGAAGATATGGGGCAAAAAGTGCCAAAAGCGGCAACTCAGTTTTTAAGAGAACGGAGCGTCCGATTTCAATAATAAAACATTTTACTTATATTAAGAAGATGAAAAACTGATCAAATTTTCATGAAGGCAGGTCTAGCGGTTTCGGAGATCTAGTAAAAACGTAAAAAGAAATGCCATCTGGCGGTCAAAAATGATCATTGAACATATGCACATCAAATTATCAGATATTTTATAGAGATTTTAACAATAAGTATAAATTTTGTTTACATTCCTATGGGTTCCGTACCAATGCTTATTCGTTAAACGGCGGCGCGGCGCTTACGCGCTTCGATATTTCATCTCTATGCAGTTAAAGCAGTACGATTGCTTTGAAAAAAAGTTCAGAATTTCCAAAATATTTCAAAATACACTTTTCTTAAAAAAGTCTATTTTTCAAAAAAAAAAAAGGAATTTTTTGTCAAAAAATTATAGTTTCTCAAAAATCTAATTTTTCAGAGTAAATTTTTTTCAAAAATGTTAATTTTTTAAAAAAAATAATTTTTGGTACGGAAAGTTCCAGCAATTTACCTTAAGGCACGATGCCATACACAACAAGTGAACAATAATGATATTTTTTATTTGATTTTATTGATTTTGATTCATGTGCTTCAGCTGAAAGTTAAGACATAATTTAATTTTAGAAAAAAGTTTAAATGATAATAAAATAATTGTGACAAATTAATTTTTAAAAAAATTATGAAAACAAAACAAAGATCTCTCTCTCTCTATTTTATTCTGAAAATATGTAATCCTTTTATATTCTTATGTTTAAATTGCAATTATACTGAAATATCAATTTTCTATAGAGAGGTAGCAGTTTCCATTACCAGAATTGAATTTCTGTTCATAAGTCGCTAGGAATAATCGAATTCTGTTTACGTTGTGAAGCAATTTCGACTTGAGAATATTAACATGCAAATCTGCTGAAATCTGTTTTGGACGATCATCCAGATAGATATTTGATACTGTGACTCAGATACGTATAATCGTATAATTATAAGAGGTTTAGTAAAATGATGATAGTTAGTATGTAGAATTAGTTGCAATTGGTGTTTATAGGTTTTAATAGTGTTCTTGTAAAAGGCGTTTATTCTTAGAGCTCAATTACGTTTAACTAAAATAGTTACATTTATAGTTACAGCTAAAGCTCGTTTTGTGCAGACCAAATAGGAGGAAAGTTACATAAACTTTCCTTAATGCTTATATAAATGACTCAATTAATAAGAAGTGAGATTTAGCTATTTAGCTATTTATTTAATATTTTTGAATATTTTTTATTAACTTCTCGAAGAAGAAATTTATGTTTTAAACAAAAAATGCGATTTGCTAATTTTATGTTTTTGGTAGAGATTGGCCTGGCCGTTTTCTTATAATAAAGAGTTAAAAAAAAATTCGACAATTTTTGTTTTGACGGTAGATACCATAGTCTTATAGATCATACTAAAATACTACGGCCCTACGACAAGTCGTTTAATTTTAAAAATTCGTCAAAAGTTTTCAAAAATCAATATTGTTTTTTAGCATTTGTCAAAATTAGACTTTTCATCGACGTTTACTCATAAACGCCTGAACCGATTTCAAAAATTTAAAAATCATTTGATATATCTCGATAAGGATTACAGTTTGTCGGTTTTGTGCAACAATCTGCCGAACCGTTTCTTTGTAATTTGAAAAAAAGGTGTTGAACTTTTCGTCCACATTTAAGCTCATACTACCGAATCGATTTAAAAAAATAAAAAAATGTTCGAAAGATATTAGTTGGGAATGATACTGATTAGTTTTAGGTGGAAATCTACCGAGCCGTTTTCCTGTAACTAACTGTTAAAAAAAAATTAAGCCGATTTTTATGAAGCTTTTTTTGGAGCTATATATCATGGTCTTATAGAACCTATTGAAATATTACGGCCTTAAGACATGTAGTTTAAATTTAAAAAATCATCAAAGCTTGAAAAAATGAGTAGTTTTTTTGTAGTTTGTTAAAATTAAAATTAGACGATTTACTTGGTATAACGATAGAGTACTTGGTCTTAATGAACATACTAAACCATTAAAGTACTATGGAAACTGGCTCAATTATAAAAATGATTGATTTGTGAAAATTTGCTTTTAGAAAATATTCCGAGTGAACGTGTTCGTTCGTTTTCAATTATGTTATAATAAATCCACTCGGAATATTTTCAATCACTCATAATTTAATTTATTTTTTATTGATTAAGTCGATTATTTCCACATATCGGGTAGTTCATGTAACTTGCCTCAAGGCAAAATACCAATACCAACTAGTTAAAATATTGTTCATATTATACATTTGGGTTAAACAAAAAACTTCTTAACTTTTCTTGTAATCTAAGTTCTAATTTTTTAAAAAAGCCATATTTTTCATTTGCATCTCGAATCTACAATCAACATTCTTGAAACACAGAAGTATGGCTGAAGAAGTATTTTGTATTTTCTTATAGTTTTGCAAAGTTTTATGTGCAAAATATTTTTTTTAAAAAACATGAAATGCGCGTGATGGCTAATTAAAAGTTTGTTTCAGCAAGATTAAATCTTTTATACATTAAAATAAAGCTTTGCTTCTAGCACATCTTCTTGCGATATAAAAATATTTTATATTAGAAAAAATAATTTAGAATAAAGTTGATACTAGTTATTTATTGCATCTTGGTTTCAAGCATGAAATTAATATTTTTTATTGGCAAACGTTAGAATTTAGAATAACATTTGAAATTTATCTATTAATAAAACTACCTGGTACAAACCAGAATTTCTGATGATTAACAGTGGTAGTTTTTAAATTCCAAAAATATTTAAATTTTTTTCCATGATATCTTTATCACAATGCAAAGTTTCATCAAAATCCAAGAAGAGTAAACCTAAGGTTGTCCTTGTGAGAAAATTTGTATTATTAAATTTGTCTCCAAGTTTTATAAGAGTACATAACACAGGATTATCTAAGAAATTAGCATCAGAATGTTTATGAAGATTTGTTTTAAGTGCCATCTAGAATCTTGGTTAAAAAGTTTCAAAAAAGCTACAAACAAACTTTCCAATCAATCACAACTTTCTCATGTGTTGCAAACTTTATTCTCTTATAATATGTACTGTTATCTTCATAGAATATGCAAGTTTTAGTAGAAATAGTAGCATGATTACTTATTTTTCAGGTTCTATTAGTAACATAGATGGTGCAGAGTATCATTGCAACAGAACCCAAATTCGAAAGGTGATTTCTGGAGTTGTTGGAGCAGCGTCTTCAGTTACCAGCATACAAGTTGCAAACTTATTAAGATTATTTAGAATACCACAAGTAAGCAAAAATATTCATTTTATGAATTATTGATTGTTGTTGTAAAATATGTTTAATCGATGCTAAAATGTGAAGTGCACCAGAACTTGTACACATTGATTTACTTGAAGAAAATGTCTCAATCTCTTGTCGTACAAAAAAATCTCAAGGATATATATGTAGGTAATAATTACATAAATATTTATGTACCGTAGGTGTCATTTTTTTCGACAAGTCCCGAGCTCAGCAACAAACAAAGATTTGAATACTTCTCACGTACGATCCCTTCCGATCATTACCAGGTCAAGGCAATGGTGGAAATTGTCAAAGTTATGAACTGGAGTTACGTTTCCATCATATATGAGGAATCCAACTACGGAATAAAGGTAAATATTGCTGATTTATAAATAAAACACAATTCTACCTTTTCAATTTATAAAAGTATACCCGACGAAACATTTTTCTTTGGGGAATATTGCTGCTGTTTGTTATATTGATTTCATATTGCAGCTCAATAACTTTCCTCGACTGTATTCGTTACTAAAACATAAAAAGTGAATGTCTGAAGACTCCTTGATAAAATATATTTCATTCCATAACAAATGTACTTTGTATAGCTTGCTATGAAAAATAAATCAAAAAAAAAATTCATAACAAATTTATATAGTTATATTTTGAATCTTTTCCCTCAAACAAAAATGAATCAAAGCGGCTAAAACAGCACCACTTGAAAATTTTAATATCTTTGGTGGCCACCTCGGTATCTAGCAATATGATATCAAATTTTTACTTGAGATCATAGATTTCAAATATGATTTCAAGTAGACATTGCTGCAACATATGTATATGCAGAGGGCTCGGATTGCATCCCTGTATTGTGTATAGTAAATAGAGCTTCATATTTGAACGGTTTTGTGAATTGAAACAAACTAATTCTGGAACTGGCATACAGCACATTTTTGTCACAATCTTTAGTTTTTATGCACTAACTGATTTTTTAAATAAAACTTCCTTAGGCGCGACTAGGGACTCGTTCCATACAAATGCAATGGAAGTGCGTTACGGCCGAGTCCAGTGCCATTGATTCGTCATTTGCTCTCGATGATATCATTTCTATATCGGTCGATTGTGATTAGTCGTCGTGTATGTGTATAGAGATCTGTCGTTGTATGCGTACCCATATCAACAAGGAAATCGGCAGAGATAAATAAACATTTTAAAGTTACATCGTAGAACTTGATATTCGTAGTAGAAAATATGTTTTAGGCAAGACAGATATTACAGCTGTTCCAGAATGAGATTATATCGCCAGCAAAAAAGTAAAAAAAATACAAGCAGTCAATGAATGTATGTTAATTTTAATTACATGAAGTTCTTCAAACACAATTACATGATGAGTGAAGTTGCAAAACAATATTTGTTTAGGCGTTGTTTAACATAATCCACTGTGTGAACGAATATTATAGAATTTATTAATCAGCAATTACTTCATTTCTTTAATGAAGGTTCATTTTTAAATGATATATAATTACAATGACGAACCGATTATGTTATATTTGAAGTATGACTTTAATTACATTATTGTTTTTAAAAATAGCACATTTAATAACTATTTTTACTGTTATAGTATAATTTTTATTTAGCTTAAAGTAAAATTATGTCTTTAAATATCCAAACTAAAAATAATACTTGCATGTATTAGTTACCTAAAGTAATATTTTTTTGTTCTAAGGCTTTCGAAGAGCTAGAAGATCTTTTATCCAGAAATAATATATGCATTGCCGTCAAAGAAAAATTAGTGAAAGACTCTGGAGTCGCCGAAGAAATAGCTTATGATAATATTATACAAAAAATGTTAACAAAGCCAAGAGCTAGAGGTAAGCAACAAAGATTAATAAGGCCAAACAAACTGTTTATTAGAATGTTTTATTTTTCTATTGATAATCTTTTTGAGCATGTTTATCTTTTATTTCAGCTTCATTCCAATATAATATTTTATTTGTGAAATTTTTCTATATTTTTTCACTTAAAGTTTCTTCTAATAAAAGTTTTTAAGACACCATGATTACTTTCTACTTACTTCTTGTATGACAAATCCATTTTGAGACCATGGCTCTATATCCACCAGAAGCATGTAATCTCTAAACTTTAAATTAAACTTAAAATTTTTAAATTTCAATTATCTTTCCAGGTGTCATAGTATTTGGATCTGACCAGGAAGTGGCAGGTGTAATGCGCGCAGTAAGGCGATGCAATGCCACTGGTTTCTTTTCTTGGATTGGATCAGATGGATGGTCTGCAAGAACTTTAGTATCTGATGGTAATGAAAGGGAGGTTGAAGGAACGTTGTCTGTTCAACCTGAAGCTAACCTGGTGAAAGGATTTGAGGAATATTTTCTTGGTTTAACGGTGGAGAATAATCAGAGAAATCCTTGGTTTGTCGGTAAGTTGGATAATAGAAATGGGATTGTGAAAACAGCTATAGATCAATTTATTACAAATAAAATATTTTACAATACATATTTTGAATTTAGATGTTTTTGCAAAATGTATATTAAATCTATTTTCCAATTTTATTTAAAATTGTGGTTCAATCCACTTCAATTTATTCCTGTTTTTTGTGATCTTTTTACATCACTCTTTGAAACCTTCCAATTTCGTTTCACTTGCTAGTTTTTTTCTATCAAATTTTCAGAATTTTGGGAAGACCATTTCCACTGCAAATACCCGAATTCTTCAATAACTCCTTACAATCAGAACTATACTCAACAATGTACAACTAAAGAAAAACTAACTCGAAACAATACAGCTTTTGAAGATCAGTTGCAATTCGTAAGTGATGCTGTTATGGCTTTTGCTTATGCAATAAGGTAAGATAATATTATAAAATATTTTTGTATTTTCAACTTTTTAAAGAAGATCTTTATGTTTTTCATAAAAATTCCTACTTACTAACTTTGGGTTTTCTCAAAGTTTTGAATCATTCTCACTCGTTAGAAAAAGTATGTTTTGTGAGTGTTGTATAGGGGGTGTGTGTCTAACTAAATAAAAATTTGTGAAAGTTTGAAATATTAGAAGATTTGATATGTTAGTGGTTTTATTTGCTCTTCTGAGAAACCAATATTTAACGTTCTATCTATACCTTTTATATTAACTTGCGTATAAAAGAGATATATTAAATTAAAAAACTTTCAAATTATTTATATTCTATAATAACTTAATAAATAATTTAAAACTATTTATGAATTTGCATATATAAATTTGTCAGCATGTATAGATTAAAATATATTTCGTTCGTAGGAAATTTTCTTCAACATTATATTGTGTCTCAACCAATACATATTTTACAAGAAGAAGTTTGTGCTCAAAACAATGTTTAGTTTAAGAACCTACATTGAAGTTTCAAACTACCGAGATAGTTTCATAAAAGAAATGAATTATTAATCCGTATGATACAGGGTATTATAAGAGTTTTCTTAAAAATTTTGTGTAAATTATTTAAAAAAATTGCGAAGAATTACATGAAGAAATTATAAATTTAAATTTTCATTTTATAGATATACTAGCAAACCCGACGAACTCGGTTTCGCCACCAGATGGTTTCGTGAGAAAGATGAAGAAATTTTTTGTTTGTATTATATTTGAAAAGGAAAAATTTGATTTTATTACACAACTGTAATGAATTTATTTCGATTATAAAAATAAAGTGTTTTTTTAGTTGAACTTATCTAAGTAAATGAAAGTGAATCCGCAAATTATCCGTTTCATTGAAGTGCTCTTTGGTAAACCATATTTTTTGTTTTTTGGTCTGACGTTAACACAAACAAAGTGGATGGTTTTCCAACTCGTGAACAGGCAACGTTTAACTCCCCATGTGAAAAACAATGATTTTGTAAATAATCTATTTGAAATTTATTCCCCAAACACTAAGCGATTGGCCTTGCGACTTGTTATTGCGAATGCAAGGCGAACTGGAAATTGCAATCGTTTGAAGTCAAACGGAAGACCAGTCGGAATCATTGGTATGTCACTAAATCGCCAGCAATTTTTTATTGAATGGTGAAATTCAGTGCGTGTACATCATTTTTATTTGCGGCAAGAATTGCTCGTTGACTTAACCAAGCATAATTCTGATAATTCTCACTAATGTCATTACTCGAATTTTTAATTACGGTGAAGTTCCAGCAATTTGCATTAAGACACAATGCCATACAATACTAATTTTCTTAGCGGAGCCCGAGACCTTTCCAACGAATGCAAAATTGTCGAAATCCGTTCGTGCGTTCTGGAGTTATATCGTCAGGAAGGAAAACCCGACTTATTTTTATATATATGTAGATGTAAAAAATGATTTTTTACAAGATAGATATCATTTATTTTTATAACGTTATGCAATATTTTCACGTCTATCCTGGTACACAAATTTTGAAAACTGAGCTTCAAAATTCAAAATTCTCTGACCAATGCCTGTAATTTCTAATATATAATTGACTTCTTCCTCAATATTATTTGTATAGTATTGTGGCAACATTTTATTAGCATTTACATTTTCCTAGCCGTACAATAGTATAACCCTCTCCTAAAATTTTTACTAAAAAATAAGGATTAGCAGAGTTTAATTATATAAACAGTCAATCTGTTATCTATATATGAAATGAAAAAGTTGCTTTATTCAATTTTTTTATATTTATAAAAATGTTACAATATGTACAAATGAATCAATTTGCATTTGTATACAAATATAATCACTTTAATGGAAATGAATTAGAATAAAAGTAAAAATAGCAACCGTTGAATTGGAATAAAAATTGTGATGGAGGAAAATATGAGTGTTAGTTAAAATTAAATGCACACATGTATGTATATGCTCTTTATTTCTATTTACATACCAGCTTCAAATATTCATACATATGTATACATATTAATTATTATGTGATATTTTATCGTACTGTATGAATTTTAAGCTCATTCATCATTCGTGCTTCATAGAGTGAATAACTCTATCAAATGACTTATCAATCATTCGTTCAAAAATATTTTTGATATATGTATATGAAAGCTTCAATATAATCAATTATTGTTACTATTTGCATATTCTAGTAGTTATGAAATGCATTATACACAAAACTTAATGAAATCATATCTAAATTAATACCAATAATACTATTGCATGAATAATTGTATCCAGTCATAGGTTTAATCCGGCCAAAGACGAATTAAAATTCCTTTTTCCATAATTTGAATTTTGCTATAAATCTTTTATCAAGTTTAGGTAAATCTATTCATAATTTAAAAAAAGTTAAAACACATGTTTATATGTAAATTATTATTATTTAGAGATATGCATGCTGACTTGTGTGACGGAGTACCAGGTTTATGTGATGCTATGAAACCCACCAAAGGAATGGAACTCTTGAAATATCTTCGAAAAGTTGAATTTCAAGGTAGTTTTTTTAGTTCGACTCGCATAAGATTTGCATAACAATACATCATAATGCAGTTTATTTTTCTTTCAGGACTAACTGGAGATAAATTTCGTTTTGATTCAAATGGAGATGGCCCTGCAAGATATAGCATAATACACTTCAAACAAACTTCTAAAGGAAAATATAACTGGATGAAAGTTGGAGAATATTATGAGGGGCAATTGCGACTTAATGAATCAGGTAGAATAATCAGTTATAATTGATTGGAGGATCATAAATTAAACTTTGTTTAAACTTCTGATACTTTGGTTCACATTAACCCTAACCATTTTTCACAAAGGCCAATGAAAAACTAGAGCAAAGGTCTAGATTAGACACTATTATTTGGCTCATATTTCTTTTATTTCAATGAATACCTTCAATTCAATATTTTATTTGTAGAAGTGCAGTTTAAACTAAATCAGCCAAAACCACCAGAATCAGTATGCAGCCTACCATGTGAAATTGGTCAGGCAAAAAAATACGTTGAAGGTGAAAGCTGCTGCTGGCATTGTTTTAATTGCACACAATATCAGGTACATTGTTATATTTATGTTGATCCAAGGTATAGGTATTAGATTGATGTGCTTGTTTTTACTGTATTTTTTATTGTAGTCCAATTGATAACTATTCGGGTGGTTTGGACCTAGTGCTAAAATTCTGAATGTACTTTAAATTATTCTTTCTCTGGATTGATCGATTTATCCTCTCCAAAAAATGTATTAAATTCGTTTTTCGTATACTATTAAAACTTTTGTTTTTCTATTATAATTTTAAGATTCGTCATCCTTTCGATGAAACGCGTTGCGAGTCCTGTCCTTTGGGTACGTTACCAGATATGGAACGTGTAACTTGCCAGCAATTGCCTGAAGTCTTTCTTAGACCAGAGTCTGGATGGGCAATCGGGGCAATGTCGCTCAGTTCAGCAGGAATTGTAATTACGGCATTTGTTGTAAGCGCTTTTATCCGGCATCATGACACACCAGGTAAACTTTATAGTCTCAAACCAAAATTAAATAATATATAATAAATTAAAACTATATTTTATAGTTGTCCGGGCTTCGGGAAGAGAATTGAGCTACGTTCTTCTGGCTGGTATACTAATGTGTTACTCTGTGACTTTTGCATTAGTTCTTAGACCAAACGATATTGTCTGTGGAATCCAAAGGTTCGAAGATTTGTTATAAAACTACTTGTTGGCTCTATCTTTAATTTTTTTCATGGCTATTTTCATTTTAGATTTGGTGCTGGATTTTGTTTTACTGTGGTTTATGCAGCATTGTTAACAAAAACTAACAGAATAGCAAGAATTTTCAAAGCTGGAAAGCATTCTGCAAAACGGCCTAGTTTTATTAGTCCAAGATCCCAAATGATTATTTGTTCGGGATTAATAAGTGTGCAGGTGATTACTATAAATATTAAAATATTATAGGCCTACTACTACTGGTTCAATTTGAGAAAATCGTCACAAATGAGGAATGATAATAAGTGTTTCAATTACAGATTTTAATAAACGGAGTGTGGATGATAATTTCTCCAGCTCGAGCCATGCATTATTATCCAACGAGAGAAGACAATTTGCTAGTTTGCGATAGTTACATTGATGCTTCATACATGATAGCATTTAGTTATCCAATAGTACTAATAGTTGTTTGTACAGTTTATGCAGTTCTTACCAGGAAAATTCCAGAAGCGTTTAATGAATCCAAATACATAGGTAAAACGATGATAATATTTAACCCTTTCCATTCGGATCCCGAAAATACATATAAATCTCGCAAAAGTGTGTGGAAAGGGTTAAAATTGATAATTTAATCTTTCATCTGATCAATTTCGTGATGCCTGAATTTGTATTTTTTTATATTAGAGCAACTATGATTTAAGTCAGCGATTTCCAACCTGTGGGGCGCGCCCCCCTGGTCAAAATAAATCAGCAAAATGTATGCAAGTAATCTACAATTTTCGCTGCAATTTTGTCAGGACAAATGTAAAAGCATGATTATACTATACTTTTGGTGCATTCAAAATATTTCGTTTTTGCGTTTGTAGTTGAGTGAGCTGTAGGCCTATAAACAAAAGATAAACACTCGGATCATATCGAATATTCACGTGCTTACTCGAGACTAACTTAAGTAAATAAACAAAAGCATCCTTTTTATTCTGTTATCTATAAATCGAATTAGTTCATTAGTTGTGCTGGAGATACACGCGTTGATATATAGAAAAAATCATTTCTAAATTATTATTGAGTTAAAATTTATAGCTTTAGTTTTAGCACATTATTAGCCAGGAATTATTGTGAAAAGTAGTGAAAAAGTGATTTTCTTTGATTTGTTATAAAAACCGTTTGTGATGGATAAATACGTGACTGGGTTGAAAAGAAAATTTAATGAAGCAGAAGAAGAGGGTGGTGAAAATAATGGAAATGTTTCTTCACAAAATAGTAAAACTAAACATAGAAAATATGATCCAATGTACTTATCATTGGGATTTACGTATAGGATCATTAATGGTCAAGAACGACCAATGTGTTTGCTGTGTATGAATACTTTGGCCTCAGATAGCATGAAACCAAGTAAATTAAAACGACATCTGGAAAAAGTGCACGCCGATCATGTTGGCAAAACAAAAGAATTTTTCCAAAGAAAATTAGATAACTTAAATAAACAGAAAGAATCGTTTTCAAAAGCTTTGTCTGTATCACAAAAAGCGTTACTTGCGTCATACAAAGTTTTGTATAGAATTGCTAAATGCAAAAAACCCCATTCAATAGGAGAAACTTTAGTACTACCAGCAGCTATTGACATAATAGCTATGATGTTTGGTGAATCATATGCTGATCAAATTGAAAGCATTCCGCTGGCAGATAATACGGTGGGAAGACGAATATCAGATATATCTGATGATCTTTGCGATCAGTTGATAGAAAAAATTAAATTATCTTCTTTCGCGTTGCAAGTAGATGAGGCTACCGATGTTGCTAATGATGCACACTTAATAACATATATAAGACATGTTATGGAAAATGATATTAGAGAAGAGTTGTTATTCTGTAAGGCAATTGAAGGCAAAGCTACGGCGAGTGAAATTTTTAATATGATTGATAACTTTTTTATTGAAAATGGTATTTTATGGGAGAACTGTGTTGGACTGTGCACTGATGGAGCTCCATCTATGGCAGGAAAAAATGCTGGTCTGCAGGCCCTAGTTCGAAAAGTGGCTCCTCGTGCAGTTTGGACGCATTGTATGATTCATAGGCAATCTCTTGTTGCAAGAAATATGGGTGAAGAATTACTTGAAGTATTTGAAATTATAATAAAAGTTGTTAATTTTATCAAAAATAGTCCATTAAGAGAAAGGCTTTTTGGAAAATTGTGTGATGACATGGGCTCAGAATACAAAGAACTACTTTATTATTGTGAAGCACGTTGGCTTTCTCGTGCTAAAGTACTTCAAAGGGTGTTTGAGCTCAAAAAAGAAATTGCCATTTTTCTTGCTGATAATAAAAGAGATGAAGCAGACATATTTTATGACACGAAGTTTCTCGCAAAATTTGCGTATCTAGTTGACATTTTTAAAAGACTAAGTGATTTAAATAAATCAATGCGAGGAACTCAAATTCATGCTTTTTTTCAAAAGGACAAGATTACGGCGTTTATGAAAAAAATAGAGCTGTGGATAGCTAGTATGAAAAGTAATAACTTTGATATGTTTCCTTCTTTTAAAACTACATGTGTTACTGATGATGAAATAGAAGCAAGTAAAGATCTTATTATCAATCATATGACTAGTTTAAGGAACCAATTTGCGCATTACTTCAAAGATCTAGATATGTCCAAATACGATTGGATATGAAATCCATTTGTTATTGATAAATATGATAATTTTGGACTTCCAACGACAGAGCAGGAAATGATAATTGATTTATCTAGTGATAGCACATTGAAGCAGATGTTTCAGGACGAAAAGAATATTGTTAAGTTTTGGTTACAAGTAAAGGACGATTTTCCAACTTTGACAAATAAAGCCTTAGAAATTTTATTACCATTTGTGACATCCTACTTATGTGAAATTGGTTTTTCTGCAGTAGCAGTATTAAAAACAAAGTACCGATTTCGTTTAGTGATAGAAAAGGAACTGAGAACAGCGATTTCTACAATGGGGCCGCGGTTTGAGAAAATTTGTGCTGAAAAACAAGCTCAACCGTCGCATTAATTTTTTAATATTGTGTGAAATACTATATCATTTGTTTTTATTAAATTTAAAATTATTTTTTTCCTATAATCCATAGTTATGTTTGTATGTATATTTTTGTATGTATATTTTTGTATGTTTATTTTTGTATGTATGTATATTGTGCATTATTTGGTACGAGATTGAATAAATCATAATTTCAATTAAGTATATTTAAATTAAATTGTTAAAAAAATTAGGGGGGGCGCAATATTTTTTTCTTTCAAAAGGGGGGCGCAAGGAAGAAAAGGTTGGAAACCGCTGATTTAAGTTGATTTAACAAGTCGAAGTAGCAATGATACGTCCTTAATATGACTAATAAGTTTCATAGTTTTATTTTTTTTTATATTTTAGGTTTCACTATGTACACAACATGTATAATATGGTTGGCGTTTGTACCATTATATTTTGGAGTAGGAAACCATGTGCCCCTAAGAATCACGAGCATGTCAGTTACCATATCATTATCTGCAAGTGTCACGGTTGCTTGTTTATTTTCTCCAAAGGTAATCCAACAAATATTTTCATAGTTTTATTATAAAACATTAATTTCATATATCTATACATCTGTCTGTTATGTTCTGGATCATATATTGTTCAGGTTCTTTCATAAAGTACTCATTTTAGGTTTTTCCATGAAAATTCAAAATCTGCTTTATTTTTCCAAAAAGTCACTCACAAAGATCATATTATATTTCAGTTGTATATAATTCTAATACATCCCGAGAGAAATGTTCGTCAATCTATGATGCCATCACGCAGCGTTCTCAAATCTACGAATGCGACGCACGGTTCGGGAAGTGCTGTTGCTACTGTAGCCTCACATGGATTGAGAACAGCTGGTGGAATTAGTGGCGACAGAGAAAAGATCGCAATTCGTGCAGAGGATAATGATGCACGTAAGTTTTTCATGAAAAATTATCATTTGCTGCTCAAAAATGATCATTACAGATCATTAGTATTGATTCAACTACAAACAGACAAGTGGACAGGTAGAATTATAAACAGATAGGTAAGTAAACAGGTGAACAAATAGACAAATATACGGGTAGATAGATAGACAGGTGAATAAATAAAAAGATGAAAGGATAGACATGTGTAGAGGCAGTCATATAGTCAAGTGGGCAAAGTAGACTGGTAGACAAGTAGAGATGTAAAAAGGTAAATAGGTCGACAGGTAGACAATTGGACAGGTAGATAAATAGACACTTATAAAAAAAATAAAAAAATCAAATTTTTCAAGAAGATCAATCAACAGATTTGTTCAAAAGTCTTGAAAATCTTAAAGATCGATTTGTTACAGAGTTCTAAAAGAATCTTCTATAAAGAAAATAATTTTTGGTACGAGAAGTTCCTAGTTTTATTATGTATTAACTAGTTAAATTTTATATTTGGTGATTCATGCATTGGATTGTGTAATATAAAACATATTATTATTGTACAAAAATAATTTAAAAATTGTTGTTCAAATAGGAATGGTATAATTCCTACCCATGCACCAATTCTAATTTTTTTCGCCAAGACAATCAAGGGTAAATTTTCGAATAAATGTTATTAAAACTATCATTTTTCATTTGATAGTAGTAATAACTTATCATATTGAAAAGTTTAACTTGTTAACTTCCTGAAGGAGAAGTTTATGTTTTCATCAAAAAATCTCATACGCTAATTCTATGTTTTCTCGACGTTTCAAGCCATTCTGAATCGAATGAGACTAAATTTGTGTGTATGCGTGTGTGTGAACAGATTTTTTGCCGTAAATCGACGTTTTCTCAAAAACGCCTATGCAACGATCGGCCGAGCCGTTTTTTTGTAATTTGGAAAAAAGTGTTAAACTTTCCGTTCACATTTAAGCTCATACTACCGAATCGATTTAAAAAAATCAAACTGTTCGATAGATATTATTTGGGAATGATACTGATTAGTTTTAGGGGAAAATCTACCGAGCCGTTTTCTTGTAATTAACTGTTGAAAAAAAATTTAAGCTGATTTTTATGGAACTTCTTTTGGCGATATATATCATGGTCTTGTAGATCTCACTGAAATATTACGACCTTACTACAAGTAGTTTAATTTTAAAAATTCAAATTACAAATTAAAGTTTGAGAAAATAGGTAGTTTTTTTAACGTTTGTTAAAATTAAAATTAGACGATTTACTTGGTATAACGATTAGAGTACTTGGTCTTAATGAACATACTGAACCATTAAAGTTCTACAAAAACTGGTTCAATTATAAAAATGATTGATTTCTGAAAATATGCTTTTAGTAAATATACCTAGTTAACGTGTTCGTTCGTTTTCATTTAGATGTAATAAATCCATTCGGAATACTTTTAATAACGCATAAATTAATTTATTTTTTTATTGATTAAGTCGATTATTTATACATATCGGGAACTTGCCTCAAGGCAAAATACCAATACCAACTTGTTTTTTTATAATTTTCAGGTAAAGAATTATATAAATTGACGGATAGTTCTACTCAAACAACGTTTCTAACTAGCAGCACAGAAAACTCACCAACAAAACAAATTAATCGCAAATCCTGTAATAAAAAAGAACTTATTTTAAATCCAGAAAACTTACAGGATAGCACATGTCTTGTAAATAACAATAAATCCTCTCACGAAAAACAAGGCACAAACAATGGCGGAATTTTAATACAGGAGCTTCCATTATAGCAAAAAGATTTGGAAAAATCAGTAGATACTGAAAATAGTTCTGAAAATAGCGCCAATGGTAATGGAAAGACAAAAAGAGTTGCTATAGTTGTTTAGATAAATTATTTGTGATCTCGGTGCGATAGAACATTCATTGCAAAATGTTTTAATCAAATTTTACCAAAGGTAAGGAGAAGGAGATTTTAATTATCAAATATCATTTTAACAGGTAAATCATGAAAGACAACAATTATATTAATATAAGCATAAACCACTACATAGAACATAAAGTTTTTCATTTTTATTTTAATTTTCATCATGATTCTTATAGGAAACAATTTTTTTTCCCCACTTCTGCTCCAGTAAGTTTGACTAATCTAGTATCAATTTATTAACGACTCTTTCATTATTTATAAATGTACAAAATGTGATTTAAAAATATTATATAAAATATTGCTCTATTTAAATATGTGATATATTTATTAAAAGTGTATTATAAATAATATATGTAAAATATAGATTAATATATTTTTATGTTCTTATTACTTAATTATAATACTGCCATAAATTTTAATTTTTATTTACAATATTTAGTTATTATATACTAACTGAAAAAATAGTAATTATTTTATTTTTGTTGGATATCCATATTATTCAGTTAATATAATTTCATATTATATTAATATAGAATGTTTTCTGCATTTGTTAAATTACAATTTTTGATAATTCAAAAAAAACAAGCAAAACTTTATGTTGTATTTTGATTTGTAAATTTAAATTTTGGTGTCTTTAACAAATAGAGATACTTATTTTTTTTATAGAAACAGAGTTTGTAATAATTTTAAGTATCAGTGCATTTATTTTTAATTTGCTCTTGACCACTTGAGCAAAATCTAGTATATAGTATTTCTATTGATAAACACTTTATATTAAAAATCCAATTATTTAGACTATCAGTTTTCATAAAAACTTTTAAGAATTCAGAATGTTTTGTAAATATAAAAAGATCGTATTTTAAGAACAATGTAGAAATATGAATTTTCAAATTTTGGCATAATGCTGAAGGTTAGTCTCAACATGAATAAATAGTGTATATAATAAAAACGGTTCATTCATTGTATATTTAATCTATTCTTATAAGTATATAAAATGACATTTTATATCGTTAATACTATTAAGTAGTATTGAAGACCATGCTTTTTTTTACAAAATGTACCAAAGTTAGCCATCGTGCTAAATAGATTTAAATGCATAGTGCAAACCACATTTAATGTACAGATAATAATATTTAGATGCATACTGAATGTAAGTAGATTACATAAATGTTTTTAAATAATGTAAATATTGTTATTAAAAAATATGTAATTTTACGATAAAATTTGGAATTACTTAAGAATTGTTCAATCTTTGAGTCCATGATTGCACAATTCAGAAAATAATTTTTTAACTGTTCCATGTATTTTTTAAATGTTTTAATAAAGGATAAAATATCGTATTCCATATTTGTTGTGTTTTTTTTGTCAAGAAACCTTAACAATTTTATTTCGTTCTTGTAACTATGTATGAAAGTTCATGTAATTTTTACTTTAAGTCAAAATACCACTTACAACAAGTTCCCGTAGGGTAAGTTATAGTAATCCCAAAAAAATCAAATATGAAAATTTTTATATATCTTTACGTTTCAAAGGTTTCTGAACATTTTGGCATACCTTAGAAAAAATTGATGTATGTGTGTTTAATTTAATATTTGTATTAAATAAAAATTACCGAAGTTTACGCAACTTTCCTTAAAGCGAAATATAACTTACACCTAGTAAGAATCAGATTTGTTCATTTTGATTTGAAATTGGCGCTTTTTCTTGTAGGAACGTTTTGAATATGAAAATCGAGTTGTGGCAAACCTGCAACCGGCATTTATGACACGGATGACACAATCGACAGTGACAGTTTGACATGGCTGTCAAAATGTCATAATGGTCATAATCAGTTAAAAGAAGTGGTTTGGATAGCGAGATCATACTCTTCTTTTATCTATGAGCGAGATAATCTTTCACATCTAAAAATATATTGTGAAATAATATTTTATATACGTTGACAAAATTGAAAAATCTAATAACTAGATTAAATCTTAAAAATGGTGTTCAAGTGTCAAGAAGATAGTTTCTTGCAAGAAGTAATTATTTTGCATTATAAAGTTTCTTACATTATTCAAACGTCTATTGAACAATTTTAACTAAGCTATTATATTTTATTATTCTATTCTAGTTCACATCCAAAGTATTATCGTGTGAAAAGTCTGTTGCTACTCTAGTAATCGATGGCAATAAACAGAAAATTGAAGGTTACGATGTTATCATGGAAGATACAATCCTGTTTCCCGAAGGAGGTGGACAGGTAATTTTAATTAAACCAGTAATAAAATATCATTTTATATGATATATTTAAGTGTCTTACTTATCAAAGCCTTATGACACTGGTTTCATAAATGATGCAGAAGTATTACAAGTTTTGAGAAAGGGAAGCAAAGCAATACATTTTGTTAAAACACCTGTAGAAGTCAACTCCAATGCACTCCAGAAAATTAATTGGGAGCGAAGACTTGATCATATGCAACAGCATTCAGGTAAATGAGAAACAAAAGTCTTTATGTAAACATTGATTTACTGAATTTAAAATTCTTTATAATATTGTTTCAGTTTGTGGTTTAAAAATTTTAAATAATTTTGTTTCTTTCATTATAGGACAACATTTACTATCAGCTGTATTAGAATCCAAATTTGGGTATAGTACTCTGGCTTGGTGGCTCGGGGAGAATGTTGCATATATAGAGTTGGATACAAAACAAGTGACTGAAGATCAAAAAAATGAAGTGGAAGCAATTTTAAATAAATATATACGTGAAAATTTACCAGTAAAAGTTTTAGTTTATGAGAAAGATGATCCTAGAATAAATGTAAGATAATAGAAGAGATAGCTTCAACCAGAATTATATAAAACAAATCTCTTTGTTCACTAATATTTATTCATTTGATAATAGTGATATACAAAATTAGTTTTTTTTTTTTAAATTAATTACTTGTAACATTTGTAGATAGCTATTTGTGTTTTATAGGATGCTACAAGAAATGGGAAAACACTCCCAGCAGATCATGAAGGAGCAGTCCGTTTAATTGAAATTGCAGGCGTTGATCTGAATCCTTGTTGTGGAACTCACGTTTCTGCATTAGGACAATTGCAAACTATAAAATTATTAGGAACTGAAAAAGGCAAACAAGGCCGCGTAAATTTAAATTTTCTAGTTGGAGGAAGAGTTTTAAAATACTTACAAAACTGTTTAGAAAGAGAAAATTCATTGACTGAGATTTTAAAGTAAGTATTAATTTTTAGATAATAGAATTTAAACTGTGATGTAATGAGAATCATTTATTTGTCTTACTTTTTAAAGATAGTTGTAAATTGTTTTTTAAATAACTCATTGATTTCATTACAAGTTCCATGTATCATGTATTATATAGTACTTTAAGAAAGTATATTCCATTATAATACTGTTTAAGCCTAAGCACAATGAGAACCTACTAGAATCTACAATCTCCTGAACTGAATTGTTTTTATCTTGTGAAGAAAACTACATGATTTTTATATATATTTGTATTTTCTAGAGGTGGACCAAGAAGTCATCCAGATCTTGCTCAGAAATTGCTGTCGTCACAAAAAACTGCTTCTAAAAATTTAAATGCATGTTTGAAGTACATAGCCAAATTAGAAGCTGAGAAATTACTTGCTGCAACACCAAGGCCTAAATATTATTCTTTGCATAATTCTGAAGCTACCGATTTTCCTGATTTCATGAACTGTTTTATTAAAGAAGTGAATTCAACAGATATTTTATTACTTTTAACAGTCGGTTGTGATAAAGGTGCAGGCAATATGGTTCTTTTCGGTCCAGAGGAGTTAGTAATGGAACTTGGGCCTAAGATATGTGAACTTCTAAATGGGAAAGGAGCTGGTAAAGGTAACAAATATCAGGCAAAAGTTAATAATTTGAAAAATAGACAAACATGTTTAAATCTAATTGCATCTAAATTTGAAGTATAGATTCAGAATATTATTTGTATTTTGTTGGGAAAATATAGGAATTAGTGCAAAAAGTAAATTTTTATTATTTAATTACTTAAATTCTGTAGTTTTTTTTTCCAGAAGCAATCGTTTCGACAACACAAGCAGAAAGTTTTTTGAATTTTTCAAATCCGATCCTTATTTCTCTCAAAAACTACCATTTTTTTATTCTGAACATTTTGGCATACCTTAAAAAAATTGATGTATGTGTGTGTGTGTGTGTGTGTGTATGTATGTATGTGTATGTGTGTGTGCGGATACAAATTTTCGTCGACGATTTCGGGAACACCGATTTGAATAATTCAAAAAACATTCGTACCGGTTAAGAACTCGAACATAACCTCAAATTTTTACTATTACGAACATGTTCAACCACAATTAAACATGACCTGTAAAACAGAATATTTTAATATAAAACATAGATAAAAAAGTAGAAACTGCATAAAATTGTCGTGACTATTTCTACTCTATTTACAATACATAAATGAAGTAAAATAATATGTATTGATAAATCATAATTAATAGAACTGTCAAACAGATCCTATTGACAAATGATGTAACATAACACTTTAGGAAAAGAAGGAAA